TCCAGGCTTCGCAGGCATAGTGTCCTCCCCTGGCGAGGTGGCGCTCAGCCCCTCCTTTGTGTCTCCAGCAGTACCAGAATGGGGAGTCAGAGGAGAGCCACGAGCAGTTCCTGAAGGCCCTGCAGAACGCCGTCACCACTTTCGTCAACCGAATGAAGAGCAACCACATGCGGGGCCGCAGCATCACCAATGACTCGGCTGTGCTGTCCCTCTTCCAGTCCATCAACAGCATGCACCCACAGCTGCTTGAGTTGCTCAACCAGCTGGATGAGCGCAGGTGTAGGTGTCCAGGTCCCCCAAGGGTCACTCTAGAGCCATGGTGGGCACCATGGGCTTCAGCTGCCAAAGGCAGCAGTCTGGTTACTTAATTATCCCTGGGGTCTTGTGAGCTTCTCAAGTGCTCTTGGGAGGTGGTGCCATTGGTGAGGTGCTCTGCTCCTTCATACCCACGGCCCAGTGCCAGCAGCTGCCCTGCCCAAGCAGAACAGACGCCCATGCCAGCCAGGCCTCCCGGGCTGTGGGTGATCTGAGCTGCCCCGTTCTCTGTACACAGTGTACTATGAGGGGCTTCAGGACAAGCTGGCACAGATACGTGATGCCCGAGGAGCTCTGAGTGCCCTGCGTGAGGAACACCGGGAGAAACTGCGCCGGGCAGCTGAGGAGGCTGAGCGCCAGCGTCAGATCCAACTGGCACAGAAGCTGGAGATCATGAGGCAGAAGAAGCAGGTGTGGTACCCGACCTGGCATGCGGGTACGGGAGGCCCGGGCTAGCCTGACCACTGCCTGTCTCTTGCTTCAGGAGTACTTGGAGGTGCAGAGGCAGTTGGCTATCCAGCGCCTGCAGGAGCAGGAGAAGGAACGGCAGATGCGCTTGGAGCAGCAGAAGCAGACCGTCCAGATGCGCGCCCAGATGCCTGCCTTCCCCTTGCCTTATGCCCAGGCATGTGCTGCCCACCCCGCTTTCCCCTCGTGGGCAAGGGAAGCCCCTCTGACTGTTGGCTCTTCTTTGTCTCTAGCTCCAGGCTATGCCCACAGCTGGGGGTGTCCTCTACCAACCCTCAGGGCCAACCAGCTTTCCTGGCACCTTCAGCCCAGCAGGCTCAGTAGAGGGCTCCCCAATGCATGGTGTGTATATGAGCCAGCCAGCCCCAGCCACTGGCCCCTACCCCAGCATGCCCGGCACCCCTGCAGGTAATCTTGCCAGTTTGTGAGAATAATACAAAGCATTTTCTGAATTCTCTTAAGTGAATATATTTCTAAAATTATTTTTTTCCTGTGCACATGGAAACACATGATCATCTACACACACAGCTTCTTTCCTGAACTCTTCTAGAGTGAGGGGCAGGTGAAGACCCTTCACCCACAGTGTATATCCTAAAATCATGATGTGCTCACAGGCAGCAGACACTGGACCATGGCAGGTCATTATCAGCACAGTGCCTCAGAGAAGACATCTGTACTAAAGTAAACCCCCTTGTCACTGTGTCAGTCAGCCTGTCCCACCAATACACGCGCACACACACACACACACACACACACACACACACATGCGCGCGCACACACACCATTGTCTTCCAATCATTGCCTGTTCTGTTTTGTGCTACACGGTGCTGACTTGAGCACCTCAGGAGTGCTGTCCTGTAATTGGCGCTTTGCCTTCAGTTTGGTTAGTCTGGTGTTTATACAGCTTATGCTGTGGAAAGGCGTGAGATGATGCTTTGGCATGTGGGTGCATGGTGTTGCTCAGCTGCATCACTTTTGTGTGGCTGAGGTGAGTTCCACACTTGTCTCATGTGTTTCCATCATCAGCAGGTGTCATTTTAGAAAAGACCCTGAGACTGTGAATGCCTTGGAACTCAGACTCCTGCATCTTCTCCCTAAGTTTTGCTTGAACTTTTGTTTGCCAAGCAGTGCCCTTGTCTTAGCTACCATTCTTCCTCTGGAAGGAGGTACTTTCGTGACTCTGTCCTTGTTATGTATGTAGGTGTGAACTTCTGAATACTTTGTTCAAAGGGGAACAGTCCATAATGCTATTGATGTTCCTTTTTCAATATGGCTTCTTTGTGAAGCCCTGGCTGTCCTGGAACTTGTTCCGTAGACCAGAGGGACCTCACAGAGATCCACGTGGCTCTGCCTCTTGAGTGCTGGGATTAAAGGTGTAAACATCACTGTGCCTGGAATTTTTTTTTTCTTTTAATTTTTACTTTAGCCACGCCATGGTGGTGCACACCTTTAATCCCAGTGCTTGGGAGGCAGAGGCAGGAAGTTCTCTGAGTTCAAGGCCAGACTGCTCTACAGAGTAAGTTCTAGGACAGCTAGAACACAGAGAAACCTTATTTGGAAAAACCAAAATGGACAAACAAGGAGTGTGCTCTTATAACTGCGAGCCGTCTCTCTCTTCCTGTTTCTGTTGACTCTAATGCTTGTTGATAGGACCCATGTGAATCTGCCAGCCATTTCTGTAACATTGACTGGCTTGTCACCTTTTGACCAGGTCAGCTTAGTATTCTGCTTGTCTTGTCCATTCTTTGGATCTCTGGGATCCTGCTTCCTCTTTGAGGAGACAGCCATTAGAAGCAAAGTCTCAGGATATGTATGGTAATGTGCAGTTATAATTCAACACAAGAAATTGAGGCAGAATGACCCCAAATTTAAGACCTGTGTTCCAAACACAGTTTAGGCTTGGGTTCTTAGGATGTGTTTATAGTTTCTAGATCACAGAGGCCTTGTAGAGTGTGTATGTAGAGTGTGATATACAGACTAAGTTTGCTCTCATTCTCATCCTGACAGCTTGGGGTGCCCTTCATTGCCCCTGTGGAATAGTGCCCTGGGCTACTGTAGGAGAGAGAGGGCGTTGTCTTTGTTCGTCTCGTCTGGATTGTGAAACTCCCAAGTTACAGGCTTCAAAAATCTTGTGTCAACTCTCCCTAGTCCCTTCTCTTCCCTGTGACTACCCCTTGTTTCAATACAGTTTGAAGTGTGGGGTGTCGCTCCTGTAGAGCACCTGTCCAGCATGTACAAGAACCTCGGTTCAGCCCCTAGCACTACAAAAACAAAAATAATTAGGTTCATTTTTTTTTTTTTTTCCTGCCTTCATTTTCTTTTAGGACTTGCCTTCCTTCTTGTTGGCTTTACGTCTTGTAAGAATGTGAAATATGTCCTTGGTTCTGAAATCACAAAAGGAGAAGCCGGGAAAGGGCCTTCTCCTCTGACTCTCATTCTGGAGCTGAACTAGCTTATCTTTCTTGTCACAGATCCCAGCATGGTGAGCGCCTACATGTACCCAACAGGTGCCCCTGCGGCCCAGGCAGCCCCACAGGCCCAGGCAGGGCCCACCACCAGTCCTGCCTACTCCTCCTACCAGCCCACTCCAACCCCAGGCTACCAGGTATGTGGACAGGGTCATCCCCTCTCATCTGCTTCCAGCCCTTGCCTGTCCCTCACTCCCCCCCCCCCCTTCCTTCCATAGACTGTGGCTTCTCAGGCCCCACAGAGCCTCCCAGCCATCTCCCAACCTCCACAGACCAGCACCATAGGCTACATGGGTAGCCAGCCAATGTCCATGGGCTACCAGCCGTACAACATGCAGGTAAAGAGGCCTCTCTCTGCTGAGTATAAAGGGCTACATGCACAGGGCGGGTCTGTGTCTCTCTGGTCACAGAATACTCACTCCTTCTTACCCTCCACAGAGTCTCATGACCACTCTCCCAGGCCAGGATGCATCTCTGCCAGCCCAGCAGGCCTACATCACAGGGCAGCAGCCCATGTACCAGCAGGTGAGTCATCTCCAGGCCCCTTCCCCAGCCCTTGAACTCTTGGGCTTCCTTTGACCGCCTGCACTAGGTTTATACCCAGTGGCTTTTTTTCAGCCATCAGAATGAGGACATGCGAGTCAGTACAAACACGTGCATCCATGTGCACGCATGGGAGGGGACATTTATAGGAGCCTCAGGAGTGCATTGGCAACAGCTGGAACCCTACTCTGTGCCAGCGGTGTGCTGAGGCTGTCTGCTCTTGCTCTCCAGGTGCCTCCCTCCACTGGCCCTCCCCAGCAGCAGCCCCCTGTGGCCCAGCCACCACCTACACAGGGACCGCCAGCACCAGGCAGTGAAGCCCAGCTCATCTCATTCGACTGACCTGGAGTCCGGCACTCACCCTCCAGAGTAACACTACGGTTCACCAGAAACCACTTACGTGTCTAACTAGCCATTTCCTCCCCATTGCTACCCTGTAGTGTCCCTTCTCCTGTGAGCAAGGGTGGCCTCACCCTTGACCCTCTCCCCTGTCTCGGTGGCCTGGCTCCTGTCACTGGTCTCTGCTTTGACCCTGATGCAGTCTGACGTTGCCCAGGGCTGGGACTCTGCAGGGCAGGTAGGCCCTTCTCTAGGGAGTATGCAGCTCTGTGTTGGGGCTGCCTCAGGTGACTGCTGTGGGGATGCTTAGCCTGTCCCAGAGAGTCTGATGTGAACTGTGTGGTGTCCAGGCATGGCTCTGGCACCCGGAAAGAACCATTTGGCTCCGGCACAGCACGGGTAGAGGCTTCAGGCATCTCTAGCTTCCCTGCTCCCCGATTGTCATCCCTCCAGTGCAGAACAGTGATAATAAAGTGTATTTCAAAAGCTGTCATGGGTGTTTGTTGGGGCAGCAGGTTCAGTTGTGGACCAGAATGTGAGGGTACTTACATTGCCAGCAGCTCTGGAGTCCAGAAGCCTTGGGACGGCCTCCTTGCTGGTGAAGACTCTGTTACAGATTCACGTGGCGCAGGATATCACCCAGTAGTTATAAAAAGGCACAAAAGCGGCCTTTTACAGCCTTCATGGGTCCAAACCACTGCTTAGGGGTTCAGCTCTCGACATCACACCCTGGGAAATACACTTCCACCTGACTTCTGGTTGGGACATTCAAGCCTGCCTTGGTGGGCACTCAAACCTTGGGAGACCTGGTATTCGCCTAGAAAACAGCTCTCCGCGTTGGCGGAAGGGTTCCAGGCTTCTAGAACAATGGATTGGGCTCTGGACTCCCGATATCGGTAATCTCTTGGACGACTGATCGCGCGGCGATCCCCGTGTGTAGGGGGCGCCTGCGTATTCCGCGGCAGACACAAAGAGCCGCCTCACAGAGTCTTCACAGAAACCTCTAGCCTAGAACTACTTCCGGGCCCCGACTGCGCCTGCGCGTCGCGCCGCCTACTGCGTAATACCAGGCGCCGACCCGGGCTAGAGCAGCCGTCATCGGCTCCGATTCCTGGAGGCCTCACGGCTAGAGCGGCCCGTCCAGCTCGCCTGCTCCCGGCTAGAGCGTCGCTTCCGCGTAGAGCCGCGTGTGACCTTCCCGCCTGCGGAGCTATGCTGCCGGCGGCGGCGGCGGGGGCGGCGAGCCGCCTGTGGGGGCCGCGGCTGGGGCTGCGGGGAGCAGCGCTCCGCATAGCCAGGTACGGTGGGGGTCTAGAGAGCGCCGCTGCCGGGGCGGCGGGCTGGAGCAGGTCCGGAGGGGACGGGCGGCGGGCACATGGCCACCTTCCGCGGCCCTGCCGGTGGGGCGTGGAGAGGACGGCTCGGCCTGGGCGACCTTGGGCTCAGGTACCTTCCGTCCCTGAGACCCATCGCTGTGGTCGGCAGCGTGGCCCGAGGCCGGCGCTTTCGAATGCTTGGTGCAGCGGAGTGCACCCGCTAGGCCGATGTATTTCATTCAGGCAGATGCCTGCTCTTTCGGGCAGAGCCACCGGCACCATCGTGTGGGGTCCTGAGGCTCTGGGAAAGGTGGCGAAGCTTTGAAGGCCCCCTTAGCCCCAACTGGTGAATTCTGGCCCCGGTGGTGGCGGACTGGACACACGGACCATTTGTGCCCCTGGGTCTCTGCGTCTTCCTCTTTGCTGGTCTAACGCCTGTTTGCATGGGGGTCCAGGCAACAGGTCCCCGGTGTCTGTGCAGCAGCGCGGCAGCTGAGGAGCAGCTGCCAGCGAAGGAGTGAAGCACTCGCCGGTGCCCCTCTGGATAATGCTCCCAAGGAGTATCCCCCCAAGATCCAGCAGCTGGTCCAGGACATTGCCAGCCTTACGCTCCTTGAGATTTCAGACCTCAACGAACTCCTGAAGGTATTGGGAGAGATCAGCACAGGCCAGGACTAAGTTCCCTGTCTTCTGTTTGTTATTTTGGGAGTTTTGGTAATTTGCCAAACCGGGGTCAGAGGTCCCTGTCCCTTCTAGATGTGTTTTGGGAGTTTGGTAAATTATCAGATTTGCTCTCCTAGATGCCAGGGCCAACCAGTCTTGGGCTTCCATTAATAAGCACATTCGGGGTTTAAACAACCAACCAGTGAGACTTCTCTTTTGTCCTACAGAAAACTCTGAAGATCCAGGATGTCGGCCTTATGCCAATGGGTGCCATGGTGCCTGGTGCAGTCCCTGCCCCAGCAGCAGCAGCCCCCCCTGAGGTGAATCATTCATTCTGTGTGCATGTGGGTGTAAACGTTACAGCACACGGGGAGGGGCCAAAGGGGACAACCAAAAGTCAGGCGTTCTCTCCTTCCACGGTGGGTTCTGAGGATCAAACTCGTGTCCACAAGTTTCCCCTTCACTTTGGAGTCTGTCCTGGAACTCACTCTGTAGAACAGGCTGGCCTCTGAGAGATCCGACTGCCTCTGTCTCCCCCTCCCAAGTGCTGGGATTAAAGGTGTGTGCCACCACCGCCCGGCTCACAAGCTTCCCCTTTACACCCTGAGCTATGCTGTGGGTAGACCCTACTTGATGAAGAAGAAAGCAGTGTCCTGAAGAGATGAAGGGTTCCATCATGTATCAGTGTCGGGAATGCTTCTGAGGAAAGCAGACCAGGTGCGGGGTGTGATGCTGGAGTGCCTGCCTCCCTGCCAGGCATGCTTTGGGTTGGCAAGACAATATGTTGGGTAGAGGACTGGAATTTGAAGGAAACCTCCACAGGGTGTCGATACTGCGGAAGAGAAAGCAAAGCGTCCCTCTCGGATCTAGCTGATAGAAGGGGTTCTGAGCAATATTTAGAATCTGAACAGGGGCTGGGCGGGCATCACACACCTTTAATCCCAGCGCTTGGGAGATAGTGGCAGGAACATATCACCCTTGAATTCTAAGCCATCCAGGACTAGATTCAAGCCTTACGGTTTGTTTTGACTATTTTTATTCATATTGGGGGGGGGGGCTTGTGTATGTGGGTATCTAACGAGGCCAGAAGAAGGTGGTGGGTCCCTTCAAGCTGGAGCTAAAGGCTCTTGCGACAGCCCCGTCTTGAAAATCGGCAACAACAAAAAAGTGGGCAGTAGTCGCCTGCGCCTTTGATCCCAGCACTTGGGGTGCAGAGGCCGGCCCTGGCCTACAAAGCAAAGAAAATTCCAGGACAGCCAGGGCTACACAGGGAAACCCTGTCTGAAATTTTAAAAAAAGAGTTGTCTTTATTGACACAGGTTTTGTTGGCTGAGGGCTGAGGTAGTCCTGATTCTTCCCTAACTTTTTATTATCTGCTAAGCATTTGCTACCCTCCCCGCCTCCTGGGTGCCATGGCCCGTCCCCTGTGCGTGCTCGCGTGCGTTCTTGTGGGAGCCACTTGTTCAGGCCCCACTCACTTTGTTCTAAGACATGTTCTCAGTTGGCCTGGTGTGACGAGGCTTTTTTCTGTTTCGCCAGTCGGCTCCCAAATAATGACACGGAGACTTATCAATTATGGAAGCTTGGCCTGAGCTTGGGTTAGTCCCACTAGTTCTTTTAACTAAATTAGCCCGTTTATATTAACCTGCATTTTGTCACTTGGCATTGCCTCTCTTTCATCTTGCACCGCTCTCCCCAGTAATCCCGCCAATAAGTCCTGCCTAGCTACTGCCCATCAGCTTTTTATTACCCAATCACAGCAGTGTATCTCCATGCAGTGTACAGATATCTCACAACCGCCTGGAACTTGCCGAATAAAACTAGGCTGGTTAGACAGTAGGCCCTTGGGGTCCTCCTGTCTTACCTTGCCAGTGCTGGGGTCACAGGCAGAGGCCTCTGTGCTGGGCCTCCAGGGATTAGAGTTGGGTCCTCGCTTGCAAGGCAAACACTTCATCAGCAGAGCCATCTACCCAGCCCTATAAATAAATTACAGCTTTAAAGAGAGGTAAAATGAGAGTGGGGGGCGGTGCTAGTTTGAGGCTAGCCTGGTCTACAAAGTGAGTGCCAGGATGTCCAGGGCTACACGGATGAGTGTCATGACAGACCTACATGGGCTGGGGTTTGTTTTAGGGCCTCGCCCTGTGAAGCAGAGCTGGACGGCCTGCCTGGTGCAGCTCTGTAGAGCGCAGAACTCGGGATCTGTGCGGATCTTCCCTGCAGGGCCTGGTGGGGCAGCCCTACCTCATCCTTCCCTGCCTTATCTCTTTGTCTCCACACCTTAAGGTGGCTGAGGGAGACGACTTCCCCAAACAGAAAGAGCGGACACACTTCACCGTCCGCCTAACGGAAGCAAAGCCTGTGGACAAGGTGAAACTGATCAAGGAGATCAAGAACTATGTCCAGGGCATAAACCTTGTGCAGGTAGGAGCCTCCCTGTGCTGGTGCTGAACCTTCTCAGCACTACACCCTTCCCCTTTGGGCTTCCTTACGACAGCTCTAAGTACTCCAGGCTCTTTACTGCTGTCTCTTTTAGGCCAAGAAGCTAGTGGAGTCCCTGCCCCAGGAAATCAAAGCAAACGTCGCCAAAGCTGAGGCGGAAAAGATCAAGGCCGCGTTGGAAGCAGTGGGTGGCACTGTGGTTCTGGAGTGACACTCCTGTTCTGCGGACTTTTGGACTGGGGTCCCTGGGACCTGGGCAAAGGCCTGCTCACCCCTGCTTCACTCCCAGGTGGCGTGTTGGGGGCAAGACCTACTGACGCTGGTGGCCGAATTCTCCTGGGAGAGGGGCAGGATGGACCTACTGTGATGGGCAGGGGCGGTTGCAGTTACAGCCCGTGCAGGTGTTATAAAGTGAACACGCCCCTGGTGGCTACTGAGAAAGTTCGCTGTTGAGGCTGGGTGTGTGCAGCGAGTGGTGTGTATGCTTTGGGCTGGTGGAATACAAGGTCACCTGGAGGCCTGTGTGTCCTGGACCTTCCCTGCCGCCCCTCCTCCTCCTACAGGGGCTGTGGTCCCACCACAGGTTAAGTGCACAGAGGCACAGCAGTCGGTGTTAAGGAGCTGGATTTGGGGGATAGGTGATCTGAGATTTAGATAAGGAATTTGCATTAGATGCTTATGAGTTTTAAAGGTAACAAAGTGTAATACCAGCCCACCCTACCAAGGCAGTCGTGACACATTTGGGGTGGGTAGGGGCTGAAATATTAACGCCAAAACTTCAGGCTGGGCCAAGGTAGCAGAGGGGGCTTGTGCTTGTAGGTCTTGGAAGACACTGACTAACCCTGGGGTGGGCCCACATGTGGGCTGTGGAGTAGCTATTTTTGTTTCTAGACCTCTCAGCAGAGTCTGGGAGAGGAGCAGAGGTTACTTCAGCTGGTCTCTGATCAGAACCCAAATCCTCGGCAGTGTTTGAGCAGAAGGTACCCACTGGCCTTAGTCCTCCTGTTGGGAAACCTTTTGCAGTTTCTCAGAGAGACCAGCAGAGGGCGGTGTGCTCTGCAGCATTGCTTTGTGAGGACTCAGCTGGCAACCCCACCCAGCTGTGGGCCAGTCCACTTCACACAGCTAGGAAACTACAACTCCCTGCCTGAACTCTTGGTCTCTGCCATGAGGATTACTGGTGGCCACACTGCTTGTAAATGACTCCCCAGCAGGGTTTCAGGGGTGTCTCCACACACCTGGGCAGATAGTGAATGAGCTCGGCAGCCTGGAACATTCACCTCTGCTCTGGGTATCGTCTCAGCCAGGGCCAGAGTCTAACCAGTGGATAGATAGAGTGCCTTGACCTCTGGCCATTAGATTAACCTTGTTCCCGTGATTCTGGACGTGCTTAGAAAATCCAAGACAGCTTCAGACCCTGGCAGGTGGGTGATGGAAAGCACTTGCCTGTAAGCTGAGTCCCCTTGAAAGCACTGCCAAAATAAAACCCAAAACTTGAGCCTTAACATGACAGATATGACACCTCCCCAGGTCAGGCCACACTAGCTTTTTCTCTACCTGTTACAGATTACATGTGGAGCCTAGGTAACTGCATGTCTGTGTTGAGGGAGTGCCTTCCCAACATTCTGAGGCCAACCTGAGCTGCATAAGAACCTGTCTCAAAGAGAAAACTAGTTCTGCTTAGCTCCTTGCCTACGTTCCTCTGTACCTTGTAAGTTTTCTCCTATGGACCAGGGTCCTCTGGTCAGTAATGGTTTTCAGCCCTCTCAGAAGGGCAGACCACAAGCACATCTGTAGTCTGGTCTTTTTAATTCTGATAAAAGTGCTCACACTGCTGCTGGGTTTGCACCAAATGAGAGCAGACAGCTGGGCGCACAGCTTTATTCCCATGCTGTGTTGGAGAGCCTAGGTGGCCTTGGATAAGGCAGTTCTACTGTTTGGTTTTTTAAGTTTCTGTGAAGATAAGGCCCACATCTATAACCATCAGTCCTGTAGTTCATGGTTCTCGGTTGCCTTGAGGGTGTCCCCAGTGTTTTATGTACAAAGGCAATGTCATCTCCTTGCTGAGCACAAGCCAGGTGTCCTCTGGCTTACTGCCTTTCTGATGTTCCTGGAAGTTTCAGCCTAGTACCTCTCAGTTTCCTGGTAGGGCTGGTCTGTATAGGCAAGGCCAAGGGCTGCTTCAGGCCTCACAGCCCAGAGTTCTGGCCTAGGGTTCTCAGATGTTGGCACCCAGAGATCTGCCCAGCCGAAAGGTAAGCTTGTTGCCAACACCTCTACAGGAGAGGATTGGATCTAGTGACAAGTGACCCCAGCCCTGTTCCCATAGGCTTCGTCCTGGTGTAGTGTGCCTGAGGAGGGTTGCCAGGCCACCTGAGGCATTGGATACAGACCAATCCAGAGCTGCAGGGCACGGGTCTTCTTTTATTCATGTGGCCAGACTTAAAGCAGCCATGGAATTTGGAATTCACCTTGCCTAGTAGGTGTGCACTTGGGCTAGGACCACGTATGGATTTCTTTGGCCATTGTTGGGAGATGGACTTCTGAGACCGAACAGGTTGGGGCTGCCTCCTAGGGTCCTGAGCCAGTAACCAACCATGAAGAGTTCACAGCTCAGGACTTCGTCCGTGGTGTCTGCTTAGGGCTGTGTCCACAGCAAGGCTTGAGCTGAGTTGCACTTGGCAGAGAGTCAGTGGGTGTGTAGGCGTGGGGGAGGGTCACTGCCACCCTTTTGTAAGAGCCTTTTGTCCCTGGTTTCTATTTAATTTGCAAGCAGGCCCCAAGAAGTTTTCCACCCCCCCCCCCCACATCGGGACGGGGGCCGAGCTCTCTAGGGGGATGGAGGACAGAGGTCCACTGCCGCAGCACGTGGCCTTGGCCTGGGTCACACACGAGTCAGCACCAGGGTGCAAGTTCAGGCTCGGACTAGGGGACTGGTACGGGAACCAGCCTCCTGATGAGTGGGGCATGGCAGAACACCTTCTGAACTGCGACCCAATTCTTAATCTAGAGAGTGGAACCGGCCATGGGCTATCTGCAGGGGCTTGACGGTTATATCCGGTGGGCCCCCTACCTCGGTTCCTTGAAGCGGCCGCTTTAAGAGGGAGGGCGGGGCATCCCAAGGCTCGAATCCTGCCGAGGGCGGAGTCCGTCAGGACCCGCCCCTGAGGCCGCGCGGGCGCATTGGCTGCACCAGGCGCGGGCGCTCTGTAGCACTTTGAACCGGGTGTCAGGCGGCTGGAACCGTAGTTGTGGTGCTGACCCGAGCCGGGCCAGGTCGCTGCTGCTCTGGCCATGGCCGAAGCACGCACATCCCGCTGGTACTTTGGAGGACTGGCTTCCTGCGGAGCCGCCTGCTGCACGCACCCGCTAGACCTGCTCAAGGTGAGGCTGAGTTTGAAGGCCGAGCGCACGCGTGAGCCCCTGGCGCTGGGGACAGTCCCGGGCCTGGCGCCTGCGAGGCGCCTGCTGCGGCCGCCGCTTGACTGCGCACCCGGTAATTACTGCTGGCGACGCCCACGCCGGTCAGAGCCCCGGGCGCCCTGCTCTGCGCTGCCGGGCTTGGGCCTGCGGGAGCCACTGCGCTTACTTCCCGGTAGGCAGCGATGGAAAATCCCCGGGAACCCTCTGCAGATAGTTTTCTCAGGTGTCAGGCATCCAACCCTCAGAGGGGACGTGGCATCGCCGCTCCTTAAGTTTACCAGCTGCTTCCCCCACATCTTTAACAGACAGATGGCTGTCCCGCCTCGGCTCTGCGCTTTAATACCTGTGTGAACTCTGTCACTGTGAGCCATTCCTCGGTCGACAACTCTGGCTAAAAGTTGGGGGTAGAGTTGCTAGGGGCACAGGTGTTGAAACTTAAAGATCAGCCTGGTCCCAGCATACCAGAGCACTCCTACCTGCCGGGTGCTTTGCATCACCTACTGCGGGTGAAAGTGAGGGCAATGGGCTACGTGGTGGAGTGACCTCGGTCATCTGATTTGTGCTACTTCCGCTAGAGTAGTTGCTGTTAGGATCAGCACACCCCTAGGAGAGCGAGGAGACCATGCATTCACCGGGCTCTGCCCGAAAACACTAGTCATTTCGGCACAGGAAACAAAAGAGACTCAGGCGGGGCGGTGGTACCGCGTGCCTTTAATCCCAGCACTGGGGAGGCAGGCCAGTCTCTGAGTTCCAGGATGGTCCAGGGGTACACAGAGAAGTCTTGAGCGCTCGCGAGCGCTCGCACACTCACACACACACACACACACACGGGGTGGGGGAGCAACAAATGAGACACGTGCGTTTGTGGGTTTTTTTTTTTTTTTTCTCCCCTCTTTAAAAACAAGCGCTTACAGGAAAATTAAGACAGCTCTCTTCCTGTTCCCCAGGGCCGAGGAAGTCCCAGGGGAATTTTTTCCTAATTCTGTCTTAACACAACAAAGATGCTGACCTCTCTACCCAGGGAGCTGTGACTGATGCTACAGGGTGACCTGTGTGTGGACAGACCGTTTACACTGTCACTTCCCTCAAACCTCACACTGGATTGGTCCCTGAGGTTTGAGCTGGTGATCTGGCCTCAGACAATTCCTACCACTAGAGAGAGACTTAAGGCTCGTTTCTGTCTCTGCCCAGGGACCATGTTTCCCGGAGAAAGGCAGTAGCTTTCTTTTTTTGTCTTTATTTGTAGCCCAGGCTTACCTTGAACTTGTTATGCAGCTAAAGCTGGCTTTGGATTCCTGTTCCTCCTGCCTCTGCCTTCCAAGTGCAGGGATTTCAAGCACGCATTATCACGCCCAGCTAGCATTTCTAATTAGTGAGAATGCTGGCCACTGGGCACAAGGGAGGACTGGAGCCTCACTGGTCCTGGAGTGGCACACAGGTCCAGGCCCTGGGCATCGACACTGCAGGTGGTGTAATAGCTAGAGTGCTAATGGCTTTAGGAGGGGCTCCTCGAGCATATCTTTACTGGATATGCTCGAACCTGCAGGCTTCTCCATCACTGGGGTCAGGCTAGATGGCTAAACTAGGCATGGGCCCTGGAGGTCCCAGCCACCCCGCTGCCAGCCCGTCCTCCTGAGTGTTGACCAACTGTGTTGTTTATCGTCCCCTTGGGCTTCACTGCTTCTCAGCCCCGCCCCACTCAGATGTTCCTTGGTAGAATGGTGCCCGGGGAGTCAAGAAGGGCTGCCATGGAAGCATGGGCACGCTTGCTGGACCCCTGCCAGTGGACAGTAGGCAGTTCCCAGCCATGGAAGAGGCAGTGATCAGGCTGTTCCAACGAGGGACTGCTCGCAGAGACCGTTTGAAAACTTGTGTGGACAGGTCCTTATTGTACCTCAGGCTGACCTCAAACTCATGGTCCTCCTGCCTCAGTCACCATTTAGAGTCTGAGTTACTATGCCAGCTTTACAAACCTGTTTTGAAATTCCTTGGCTCTGGCTTGGCCGCCTCATGCCCAGGGGTGGTTGCCCTCAGAACCACTGCTCCCAGGATAGGCTTAAACTCTGTCCTTTTTGCATGAGCGTGACCATGCTTGTGGGGGCCTCGTTTGGCTGTGGGAAGGCTTCTTTGGGGTCAGTACAAGGAGTGACACAAAAATGCTCAGGACCAGGGCTCCTGGATCTGAACACAGACAGGCCCTGAGAACAGTAGCTGTCACAGAACAGGCCTGGGACCACCCTTGGACCCTTTGGAGCCTCTCTATCGTCCCTGCCTTAGTTTCCTCTCTAGGCATGGGTGTGGTGCTGACAGCCAAGTGCACAGCGTGTGGACCTGGAAATGACTGATTCTTGCAATCATGTCAACAGCTTGTATGGAGGCCCGGGCAGTAATCTCATTGCATCGTAGTCTCTGCCAACTTGTAGCCAGGTCAGACAGAGCTCTGCTCTGCGTGGACGTGATGTGCTCTCCCTGCCCGTGCACAGGTGCATCTCCAGACCCAGCAGGAGGTGAAGCTGCGCATGACCGGGATGGCTCTGCAGGTGGTGCGCACGGACGGCTTCCTGGCACTCTACAATGGCCTGAGTGCCTCACTGTGTAGGCAGGTGTGTGCACAGGTCTTGGCTCATGACCCACAGAGTTCTCTCTCTCTCTCTCTCTCTCTCTCTCTCTCTCTCTCTCTCTCTCTCTCTCTCTCTCTCGGCACCAGCCTCTCGGGTCCCGGTTGTGGGGCTCAGTCCTATGGAGGAGCGTTAGGGAGTTCCGGCTGCTCTCTCTTCCCCCTTCAGAGTTATTACAGAAGAGACCCGGGGTGGGTATGGGGGCGGGGGTCTGCCTCCCACTTCCGGGTGGGGAAACCGAGGTTAGGGACAACGCCTCTGCGTTTATGAACTGGCTTAGCTGCTTGCAAGCTCAGTGGCCTTAGAATGGCCACTCAGTGTCCCAGGGCCCATGGGACAATGACTGGGCTGGGTAGAGTACCCAGTTCTCTGAGCCAGGTCCCCTCCCCAGATGACCTACTCCCTGACTCGGTTCGCTATCTACGAGACCATGCGGGACTACATGACCAAGGACAGCCAGGGGCCTCTCCCCTTCTACAACAAGGTGTTGCTGGGCGGCATCAGTGGTGAGCACTGGGTATAGTCAGGGCGAGGGCGGTGCAGAAGCCCAGGACACGGGGAACCGTCACATACGGGGCCTGGCGTTTGTGTCACCACAGGTCTAACTGGAGGCTTCGTGGGGACCCCAGCAGATTTGGTCAATGTCAGGTTTGTATGTGCCTCTCGTCCCCCAGGGTCAAGGGCTCCACTCTTCCCAAGCAGGCAAGCCCTTGCTTGGGTGACTCCAGCACTACACTCAGCCTCTAAGTCTGGGTGTATGGAGGAGCCAAGTCCTACCCTGAACTCAGAAGGCAGTCCTGCACTGTGGACCCCAGCCAGTGAGCTGATCTGGGGCCCCGGGGGTCAGTGTGTGGCCAGTGGTCCACCTACCCCCACATGTTCTACCATTGTTTCAGGATGCAGAATGACATGAAGCTGCCCCCGAGCCAGCGACGCAAGTGAGTAGGAGATAGGGGTGGAATGGTGGGGGGGGGGAACCTCTGCACAGCTCTTCTGTGACTTAACCAGGGCTCCGGTATTGCTCGTGGCTCATATGGAATAGGGAGCTTGTAGCTTTAGAGTAAGTACATGCACGACACTAAGGGGTGTCCCTTGGTCCCCTAAGATCTTTAGGTTCTTTCTTGTGGGAAGAATCTCACTAGGCTGAAGGCCAGTCCCCACACCTGCCTTCTGGATCCTGCTGACACCATGGCTAGCCTACAGGACTGGGCTTCTCAAGTCCGGTATCTAAGTGCAGGGCCACCCAAACCTCAAAGCCTGTGAGGTGAGGCACAGGAGGCCTGTGGTTGGGAATGGCCCTCCTTTTCCTTTTCCGGGCCATTCCCAGGAACAACGTGGGGCTTGGGCTCAAGATCTCCTGCAGCGGCCGCGGCTCTTCGCATCACAGTCTGAGGGATCACACTTCTTCCTTCACCCTCGGCGCCCACACTATTGCTGCCCCTCCCCCCCCCACTTCCATTCAGGCTGTCCATGAGCCCCTGACTTGGCCCCCCATAATGCGAGGCTGATCCAGTTTCTTGTTTTTATTTAGGGATAGGGTCTCATTCTGTAGCACGGACTGACCTTGAACTCAGCCCACTGAGTGCTGGGATTACAGGGGTGAGCTGCCAGGCCTGGCTAGTTTCTGGTTTCCTGGGAGAGGTTCACAGGCCTGTGTGATACCCCACACTGAGTGCGATGCCAAGCAAGAGTCCTGCTGCCCACAGTGGGGACGGGGCTCGTCTGGCTTCTAAGGCACGCCCGCAGAGCAGGTGGGTGTGGTCGACCTCACTGACTTGTCTTTGCCACTGACAGCTACTCTCATGCCCTGGATGGTCTGTACCGCGTGGCCCGTGAAGGTGAGGCGACAGTGATTTTACGTTATCGTTAATATGAGTTTGAATGCGTGTTTACATATATGTTCAACGTATATGAGCTGATGGGCTTGGGGTAGGGAAGCAGCTTGAGGAAGAAGGCAGGGTGGGGTAATGAAGGGGTGGCCTGAGGAGGTCTGGCTGTTGATGTCACCCGTCACTCCCTCCTGCAGAAGGCCTCAAGAAGCTCTTCTCAGGGGCGACCATGGCGTCCAGCCGCGGGGCTCTCGTCACTGTGGGCCAGGTAGGGTTCCTGTGCGGAGTGGGGCTTGTGCACGTTATCTCCGACCTCAGAGATCACAGGACACTGAGAACCTTGGGGAGAGGTACCTGCTCTCCTGGAGAGGGGTGGGCGCAGGTGTGGTTGGGGACAGGCAAGAGCCTGCTCTCTGCCAAGGGTTACTGTCGACTCTCCCCGGACCGGGGAGTTCTTTGGCCATAGCTGTCCCCGTTCCCACCTGCAGCTGTCCTGCTACGACCAGGCCAAGCAGCTGGTCCTCAGCACTGGGTACCTGTCTGACAACATTTTCACTCACTTTGTCTCCAGCTTCATTGCAGTAAGTGCCCCAGCGAGGTTGGAGGAGGATGAGGGTAGGTGGGGCGGGCCTAGCCTCTCCCGAGGCCACATTTGGGAATCAGGTTCACACGTTAGCCCGGGCCAAGATAATTCCTGTGTCACCTCTCTTGTAGCCCTGGGACACTCAGGAATGGGGCGAAGGGCTCTTTTAAGGTAGTCTGTGGGTGGGCGTGCGGGGAGGAAAGTCTGGGAGAGCCATGAAGGTTGGTTAGTGACAAGTTCCCTCCCTCCCTCAGGGCGGGTGTGCCACGTTCCTGTGCCAGCCCTTGGATGTGCTAAAGACCCGCTTGATGAACTCTAAGGGCGAATATCAGGTAAAGACCGGGCTGCAGGCTCCAGGGCTGGCTGGGGTCCCTGCCACCTCCAGCCATGCTCTGGGGCCAGGGCCCCCTCACCTTCAGCCCTGTGACCTTGGAGATGTGTGTGCTTCCCACTGGGCCATGGGGGCCCAGAGGCTAGGCTGTCGACAGTCCCCTGCTCCCTTCCAGTTGCTCAACTCGGGGTAGTACTTGCCTCAGGGTGGGGCTGTACTTTTCCAAGGCCTTGGCCTTGGTTTTGCTTTCCACCAACAGATTTCTTCCACCAGCTATCAGGGACCGCTCCCCACTGTCAGTAAATCTGGCCCTAGTGCCTTGAGAGCCCATTTGGTTGGCTCTCTCGGCTTGCCCTGTGTGGCTTTTACTCTTCTCTTCCATCGATGTCACAGCCTGAGCAGCTTTCCCTGTTCCCGGGAGCTCACAGAGGGTTCATCCGTGCATCTGAGTGTCCTCTGCTGTTTCTCATAGGGAGTTTTCCACTGTGCGATGGAGACCGCCAAGCTTGGACCACAGGCCTTTTACAAGGTGTGCTGGGGTAGTGGGGCAGATGAGCACTCGGAGAGCCCCTGGGCGGGCGGGTCTCCCCGGACCTGACGTCTCCTCCTCTGCTGCCGCTGCCTTCACCCAGGGCCTCTTTCCTGCTGGCATCCGTCTCATCCCCCACACCGTGCTCACCTTCATGTTCCTGGAGCAGCTCCGGAAGCACTTTGGCATCAGCGTGCCAACCTGACCCCACCAGGGGCACCTGGGCCAAGCTCGGTCACAGTGCTGAGCTCCCTGGGAGAGTGGGAGGGGATTGGATTCCCCTTCTTGGCCTGGGCCTATGCAGGCTTCTGTTCCTCCTACCCTTGGGCTGCCTAGGCCTCCTTACCCTGCCTAGGCCTTTGTCCCTCCCTTAGGCCCACTGGAGTGGAACCTCTGCCCTACTTGCTCCCAGGCTCTCCCATTGGGCTTTTGCCCTGTCTTCCCACCCCCATGATTCACTCAGGAGAAGAGGTCTGGCTCAGACTGTCCCCACCTCCCCGGCTGCCCAGCTGCCCTGCCCTGCCCTGCCATCAAGCCGGAGGAAGCTGGCCACTTCCCACCCCCAGCTTCCACCCAGAACCTAGGTAGTGTGGCAGGGTGTGGGCCACAGCAGCGTCTGCTTACCCAACAACTAGAGCACGAATGCACTTTGTCGTGAGCGGGACCATCAAGTGGCACCCTTGAAGGTACTGCCTTCGGGAGAGGAGCAGGCAGCAGGAATCGCCAGCAAGTACCATGACAGTAGAGTCCAGAGAAAGTGCCGAGGTCCCCTTGGGCACTTGTCACACACAGCCTTGGCTGCTCTGATGGACACTTGTGCTGAGCCCTCCCTTGCCTGGCTTCCCTGGGGGCAGGAGGGCACACGCTGGCAAAGCTGGAACCATGGTGGCTTGTATGTGCCCTACAGGGACTTGCCTTCCTGTTACATGGCAGTGGTCAGCCCTCCCCACCACCCAGGCACCCTCAAAGCAGCCTGGTTTCCCCCGTGGGGTTGGCTGCATCAAATCAGCATGAGGTGGGGCTCTGCCCATCCCCCAGCACTGATCCTCACCTAGAGGTGGTACAGGCCTGGGGCTCTGCCTGCACCCCTCTTCAGGATCTAATAAACCAAGTGGCCTGGGGGACCTTCATGTCTTCCCTGCATGCGCCTCACCTCCAAGGTGCTGTTCCTTGAGCACTTGCTCTCTTGCCGTTTTGGACAATGCACCCACCAAAGTCAGGGCCACCTTCCAGGGTGTAGAGCCTATGGGAAGAGGCCTTAGAGGTCAGTAGAAAGGGAGAAAAGCCTCCTTAACCAACAGTAACAGGTGCCTGGAGTCAGTTCCCGTGCAGCTGGTTGTGGCCAGTAAGCCCAGGAGAATTAAGGATGACCTGGGGTCTACATTGAATGCAGTGAGAAGCCCAGGCTGACACTTGTACTGGCCTAGGCTGGGGTTAAGAGAATTCCAGATATATAAGCAGGAGCAGGACATCAGCTAGCGTTCCAAAGCCACTTTCAATAAAGCTGGTTCTTGCATCAGAAGAAACACAGTGTACTCATCGCCACTTAAGGAGCCCAGGAATTGTTGTAGCATACGTATAGACACCTAAGTGGACATCCCTGGAAACACTGAATTTGCCAAATTTCAAAACATGTAATTTGTTACGTGGAAAGTGTAATGTGAGCTGGAAATGTAATGATACATAATATTCTTGAGAACCCAGAATACTGGATCGCAGGACTGCAAGGGTTTTAGTTTTCACACTGCTGGAGGCCAGACCCTGGGTTTCAGATTTACTAAGCAAATACTCACTGAACCAAATTCCCAGCCTTGTCCATGTAGTTCCAGCAGGAGGGTCTGCAGCCCCAGTTGGTTTCCAGTGTGTTATCCTCCCAAGATGACAAGTGTGGGCAAGTTCAATTTTAAGAATTAGATTCTTGGCCTGGAGAGATGGCTCAGTGTAATGACTTGCTCTTCCAGAGGACCCGGGTTCAATTTCCAGCATCCACATTGTGGCTCACAACTGTAACTCCAGTTCTAGGGGACCCGACACCTTCACACAGATATACATGCAGGGAAAAACGCCAAAGCACATAAAAATACGTGCATTTAAATAAATAATTTTATGCTGGGTGTGGCGGCAGCACTCAGGCAGATCTCTTAGTTTGAGGGCAGCCTGGTCTACACAGCAAGTTCCAGGCTAAACAAGGTTGCACTGTGAGATACCTTGTCTTTAAAAAAAAAAAAAGTTTGTGGTGTATGTGGTCCTGACTTGGGGGGGGGGGGTGGAGCTTCTAAGTGATGCTAAAAGGTCCAATCCTAAAGCCAGTGGAAAAAACTAGATTAGGGTCCCATCTGTTGGCCACAAAACCATTACTACAGTATCATGGGTAGGCATCCTACTTTGGAGTGTGGCTGGTGTTGTTCAGTGTGAGTCACAGATGGGTCACACTCCTGTGGTTACCCACAAGGGCTCTTACTCCAGACCCCAGCGAAGAATTTACCTCAACTAGAGGGAATTGACTGCTCAAGCTCTTTTTAGATTTGGATCCCGGAATAGGTCTTATCCACTGGAACCGGGCCTCTAGGGAAGCTGATACACACCTAACCTCCCTCCTCATAGTCAGCCCTACCCAGCAAAACCTCCCTGGAGGCGAGAAAGTCCCCAGTCCGGTTTGGTGGGGTTAGACCTGGCAGCAGGCCCTGCAGGCCAGGGTGCTTAAATCTAATCCCGTTGAACTGGCAAGCTGCTGGTAGGTCTAGTAAGATACTGCCTCCAAAAGGTGGGGAGAGGAAGTCACATAGGACATTGACCTCTGATCTCTAAACAGGGACACGTGAGCAAATGCACCCTCACACACACACACACACAAGCTTCAATAAACGCCATGAAATTTGACCACGTATTCAGGGATGGAGTTGGGTGCTTACCTTACACTACACACACTTATCAGCAGATCATAGACCCACAGGCAACATGTGAGACACAGGGTTGGTTAAAAGGCCTTGTGACTCTGTTCCAGGGGATCTGACACCTTCTGGTCTCCGGTACCAGCACATGTGGCAAACACACACTGAAGACATCAGATAGAAACCGCACCAATGGAAATGTGTGAAAAGCTGTCCTGCCTATCTTGGGCCCACCCAGCATGTTTGCCTTTGATTGAGACTCTCAAAGAAAAAAAAAAAAACACACATTCCTTTCTGCTGGGGAGACAGGAGTCTGCCCCACATGCCGGTGACCTGTCACTCTTGCTTCTGATTAGTCTGGACTTGGAAATGGACACAACAATTAATGATTGACTCTAGTCACTGGAGTGTTTGCTGGAGTGTGGCTTCTTGAGGTTGTAGAGCAGTGTTTGTCTGTTTCTGTCTCTTGCTCATTTGCTCTCCTCGCTCACTCTTTCCTGGTTGGTGCTAGGGATGGAACCTATGACTTTTATGCATGGTAAACTCAGTCTACACCAAGCTGTACTCCAGCCCTGTTTTAAGATTTGCTTGTTGTCTTTTGTTTTTCGAGACAAGGTCTCTCTGTGACTTTGGAGGCTGTCCTGGAACTAGCTCTTGTAGACCAAGCTGGTCTGGTCTCGAACTCAGAGATTTTCCTACTTTTGCCTCCCAGTGCTGGGATTAAAGGCATGCACCACCACCACACAGCTTGACATTTTTAACTTAAAATTCTAAATTAAAGCTGGTGGTCCTGCATACTTTTAATCCCAGCACTCAGGAGGCTGAAGTAGGCAGATCTCTGTGAATTTGAAGCAAGCCTAGTCTACAAAGCAAGTTCCAGGACACCCGACAGAGAGGCCCTGCCTCAAACAACAAACAAAGAGAAAAAACAAATAAAAATGTCTTCCCTGACCGCCAGGCAGAGTTCAAGTACAGCCAGAGCTATTACACAGAGAACACTGTCTCAAAAAACCAAAACAAAAAAACATGGGCACCACACTAGCCAGCAGTCACAGCTCTATTTGTGGTATCTGGTGAGTCTTCCTGTCTGAGGACATCTGATCCACTCCTGCCCTTTGAGTCAGACTTACATGGGATTTTAGATGGAAAGTGACAGAGGGTCTGGGGTTAAATCAAGGGTGTCAGGAGAGCAGCCCTCTTCAGCTAATTCAGGGAGAGTGTGGGCCCAACAGGGTCCCCAACTTCTGAAGCTCCCTTCTTTCTGGATTTGTTTATCAATAAAGATCTTAACTATTGTTTCAGTGTTCTGTTTTTTAAAGATGGTCTTGATATGTATGTAGCCCAGGCTGGCCTCAAAAAACCATCAAGCCTTTAGTTTCAACCTTCCAAGCTCTGAGAATTCAGGCTCAGAAGCTCAGCTGTTACTTTTCTTGTTTGGTTTTGTTTCATTTGAAACAAAGTATCTTAGTGTTTCTGTTGCTGTGATGAAACACCAAGACCGAAAGCAACTTGGCCTTGTTTGACTTTTACTTCCCCAACACTATTCATCATTCCAGTCAGGACAGGAACTCAAGCAGGGCAGGAACCTGGAGGCAGGAGCTGATGCAGGAGCCATGGAGGGAACTGCTTACTAGCTTGCTTCCCATGGCTGGCTCAAGCTGCTTTCTTATGGAAACAAGAACCACCTGCCCAAGGATGACCCCACCCACAATGGGCTGCACCCCCACACACACACGCACAAATCACTAATTAAGAAAATATCTTACAGCCCTGTTATGGAGGCATTTCTCAATCAAGGCTCCCTCTTCCCAGATGACTCTAACCTGTGTTACGTTGACATTAAATTAGCCAGTACAGGGCTGGAGAGATCAATCAGCAGTTAAGTGCACTGACTGCTCTTCCAGATGACCCAGGTTCAATTCCTAGCACTGACATGGCAGCTCACAACTGTTTGTAACTCCAGCTCCAGGGAATCTGACACCTTCACATAGACACACATGCAGGCAAAACACCAATGCACATAAAAACAAACAAACAAAAACCACATTAACTGGCAGGGTCTTTATGTAGCCCACAGAGCTTTGAACTCCTGTCTCAGTAACCCCCCATGTTATGGGATTACAGGCACATATATACCAACACTTCAGCCTGTAGTTGGAAGTTTTTCTCCATCTCACTTAGTCCTGCCGGACCAGTTTCTCTCCTGCTCACAGGACCCCTGCAGCTCCTCATGAAATAACCACTCAGGCTAATATTAAATATAATTGTTTGGCCAATGGCTCAGGCTTATTACTGGCTAGCTGTCTTATAAATTAATTTGTATTTACTAATCTGTGTATCACCATGTGGCCATGCTTACCAGTAATG